AATTTAATTCGTTTTTACGAAATAATAATTCGTAATTACGAAATAATAATTCGTTTTTACGAAATATTTATTCGTAAATACGAAATATTAATTCGTTTTTACGAAATATTAATTCGTTTTTACGAAATATTAATTCGTATTTACGAAATATTATTTCGTTATTACGAAATATTAATTCGTTTTTACGAAATATTATTTCGTAGTTACGAAATATTATTTCGTAATTACGAAATATTAATTCGTAATTACGAAATATTAATTCGTTTTTACGAAATATTATTTCGTAATTACGAATTATTATTTCGTAATTACGAAATATTAATTCGTAAAAACGAAATGTTATTTCGTAATTACGAAATAATAATTCGTAGATACGAAATAATATTTCGTAAAAACGAATTAAAATTTTTCTAGCGTTTCAAAGAGTTTTGGTAATAGTTATAAATAAGGCCTCAAAACTAAGTTCCTGACTTAATATAAGGCATGTACATGCAATATAAATAGTGATTTTTGTTCTCCCCAAGTTTTTTAACTTTACACTATTGTACATAAATTAAAATAATCGCCAGTCAATAGCGTTGAGCCACAGCCGTGAAAGTACACACGCTAGAAAAATTAACTTAAAATTGGGGTCATGTGCTTCAAATCCAAGCACGGACATTTCTAATAATAAATTGTGAGGAAATATTCATTTTAAATTGATTAGATTAGTGAAAGTCTGGACCCCCCCCCCCCCTCGTCCCATTAGTTTTACTAATGTATATGATAAAAGAACGGAATAATATAGCATGTTTCTTGCTGATAGCAACATGTATTTGACAATGGCGAAAAAAAGACCATTTTGGATAGAGAATGACTTCTCACTCAAAAACCCTGTTCACTTAAATATAATAACTTGAGAACCATTCGGCTTATAATCGAAAAGTTGATCAAGGCATGTAAATTACCCATTTGTGAGATTAATAGGTTCTTTATCAAGCTCAAAATGACCTTAAATAAGATTTCGTAAAAACGAATTAATATTTCGTAATTACGAAATAACATTTCGTTTTTACGAATTAATATTTCGTAATAACGAAATAATATTTCGTAATTACGAAATAACATTTCGTAAAAACGAATTAATATTTCGTAAATACGAATTAATATTTCGTTTTTACGAATTAATATTTCGTAATTACGAAATAATATTTCGTTAAAACGAATTAATATTTCGTAAAAACGAATTGATATTTCGTAATTACGAATTAATATTTCGTAAAAACGAATTAAATGCCGGGGGAAAAGTGTCGAGAATGTCACCTTAGGGGCTCCGTAGGTTTCAGTTCAAAATTGATCTTCATAAGAGGCTACAATCATCTGAAATATGTAAATTTATTTTCTGCGTAATAATATTTAATTTATTATCCGATAAATTAAATTTCATTTGATGCTTTGAAAAGAAATGACGCTGATGGGAAAAAGTTCAGAGGCTTCCAATAAAAATCGCGAATGATATTTGCACTGTGACTCGTTAATATCAAGCGTGCGTCCTCATCCGCAAAAAAATAATCAAATCAAACGATGAGGAACTTTATTTCTTATTTCGTTTAACAGTTTATTCTGCAAAGATTTTCTTTGATAAATGTTTTATTTCTGAAATAAAATTGATGGGTCCTCTGAGAACCTAATCATTCAACATTAGACAAGATTTCCAAATTCCTTTAACAAATTGTTTTTCAGATGCATCTTGTTTAGATAATTGGGTGTCAAGTGGTGCATTTTTTCTTAAATTTCTGGCAAAATACTTGATGATATCAAAGAATGTAAACATTTCATTGGCTACATTCGTTGAATTATTTTAAACATGTGAAAATTATCAAAAACGGTTTCATTTGATTATAAATATTTTGTAATCAATCCATCATTTGATAATTTAAGGATTTTACTGGTTTACTTTTTATCTCTTATATTGTTATAATGTATTGAGGAGTTGTGTTATCATTTCTACATTTTATTTTCAGGCGATAAGTTAATCACATGTTAAAATCCAGGATAACAACACAATTAAAAAAACATGTCTGCAGAAGGAAAACAAATCATTCATTTAATAAAGAATCTTTAAGTAATCGTCTTATGAAATGTTTTTTTAAATGGCACAAACCCTTAATTAAAGCTTTTGGTGGTGAGAATTTATAGAAATATTCCCAGTATAAACATTATTTAGAAAACAAATGCAACTTTTGAACCAGTTCATAACTTTAGTTACATTGAGTTGACGTGCTTTCAGGTCACAGACATGCATTATCCCTTCTTTCTATAATGTGTAAAGTAAATCTCTACTTTTTTTACTTATTTTAACAATATTTTGACATTATATTGACATTATGATGATTAAAATATTGTTAAAACATTTTTATATACGTTTAAATGCAGGTCAATTTGCAAAATTTCAGATCATTCGTCATTTTCCCAGAGTTATAATTTTCACTGTGATACACATGACCCATAATGAAAAGGGTTTAAACGTTTTAAACTTAAATCGGAATAAGAAAACCACGACAAACGATTTTAATTCCGTTCTCAGTATGTGTTCTTTATTAAAACGCGTACAAATAATTGCGTGTAAGCTGAAGTGGTGTAATCGGGAAGTAATTGAGCTTGCCGAATCAGTGAATACTTTGGACGCCATGTTCGGGTATGAGTCAATCTAGCGGATCTGATGTTAAAGTTCTAAATTACAATTGCGACAATAAGTTATTCGTTTGTGATATTACATTCATTGTACATGTATTGTCTTTAATACCAATAAGGAGCTTAGTCAGTCTGCGTAGCTAAGTAAGATTTGCAAGTCTATAGAGCTTGAGGCTTTTTCGAAATGTACATTCTTTGTAACGTTTTGAAAAAATACATTATGTACATGAAATAATGCGTATCTTATAGTATATGTGACAGTTATTTGCGGAGAACATTATGATATTTTTACAGAATTGCGAAATCTCTCTTCCTATAGTCTACATGTTAGAAAACATTTAAATGGTTGGTTCTTCTCCTTCGATTTTGAATTGCCATTATGAATAAACACGCTTGTTTTGACCTTTATACAGAATTATGATATATTTCCTAATATGAACCGTTTAATTTACGACGTATGGGAAAAGGAAAAACACAGTAACGCGTATTAAGAGTGTTTGATCGTCAATACATTATAAAAAATTATCCTATCTCTGACAGTCAGCTACTAACAATGTATTATTTCTTTTGAGATATATTAGTTTTGAGCCAAGAGGTTATTCTTTTATACGAGTATTAGCACTCAATAACACTACGTACTGTTAAGTACTCTTATTCCGCTTGTCATTATAATATATTTTTAAGTTCTTCTTTTTTCTGAAAAGAAAATACGTTCAGTTTCTAAATACACTGTTTTCACTTAGAAAAGAAATGTTTGTTTTTCTACATCATAAGCAGACTTGTTAAAGCTGCATGCCTCAAGATGACCCAGAATATTTCAAAAAAATAAACCTTGAAAAAATTTAATCCAAAAAACCAAGATGTAAAGACAAGTTAAGAATTATGTTTGAAGTTATAGTTTACATGTCATGTGTAATTAATGACCAATGTGGCAGAATTTATCACCATATTTTTACGTCGTCAATAATGCTATGAGGGTATTTTTTCATATTTGACCTCCTCTTGGTAATTTGCATAGATTATAAATATCGTTTGCAATGTGTTAATTACTTTCTTCGTTCAATTCACAATATTTTACTTTTAAATACATTTTCAAAATTGCATGAACATAAGCATGAATCTGGAGGCAAGCTGCTTTAAAAATGCACATTTGAATCGCTAATTTTACGTATAATTTTTATGATAATTTGAAATAAAAATATGCTAAGACAAATTCGTTAGATTAATATCCAAAGCCGTGTTATACAAATCACTCGATTGAAGCTTCTAAGTATAAAGTACCTCAGAACATGAGTGAGCATGTAATTATTATCTTAACTTATCATTTAACAAAGACAAAACAATAGCAGTGTCATGCAGAATTAGTTCTTATAGTAATGGACATTCTTTTAAGATATAATGGCATTTTAAACTTATTGTTTTATCATTAATTCTAATATTTAGTTATTTTAGTAAAATATGTCACTATATGAATTACAAATTTAGGGTTCAGGTAGTGAAAAGAAATGAACATTATGTTCATTTAACCCAATTTTGGCACTTACCCGTTATTCACTGTCCAGAAGTCAATAGCAAGTTTAAATCCCCCTGCCGATGTAGTCTCGTTTTCATTTCCACAGACAAAAAGGTTCATATCAAACCTATATCACACAACACATTCCCTCGATTTCATTACCAAAGTCTAGAATTCCTATCGAATCTATATCGCACCTCATATAGCCTCGTTTTCATTTTATAAGTCCGAAACCGATATCGAGTCCTTATTGTAAATGAACTAATAAAGTTCTGTCAAACTCAAAAAAAATGTGGCGTGAATTATAGAAGTCATGAAGTAAGGTTGAGAACAATACTCATTCTATTGGACTGGTATGCAGCTGCAATACCTACATCATACTTAGTTAGCGCCTCGTCCAATATAAGTTTTAACAGCTGGTACTCATCCAATAGAATTCAGGAAAAAATATATGTTAAAATCTTGACATTGTTTCTAATAGTTTATTTATTTATTTCATTGATACACATCTTGTTTGTAAAACAATAAACTTTTTAAACTTGAAAAGTAGGTCATTGTTATGTTGGCTGATGTTAAAGAATAAATGTTTTAAACAATGTGTGTACGAAAGGCGGTTAAATTGATGTAATCAGGAATTCATCATAGGATTATATTTATAAAACATATTTACAAAACACTTTACATAAAAATGAATAACTTGAAATAATAATATTTATTTTTTTTATCACAAGAAATAAAGTTTTTGGAGAATTAGATATGATTCAACAGAGATATATTTGATCTACTGACGATTATTTATAACAATGAGTTTGCCCTATAGTCATTTTAGTGCCTTTTTGTACAATTATAAAACTATTTAGTTTCAATATTTATTTCATACTACATGTACATACAATACATATTATCTGGTTATCATAAATGTAAGATGGTCTCTAGCTACTTTTTATCAATAATTTAAATCCACCAATACACATGTTCAGCTTATATAAAACTACAATCAAATGTAGAATATTTAAGTGCTTCATATACATGTATCAGTCAATCTAAAATTTATTCATAACGTGCTCTGTTATATATCAATCAATGTACCATACTGTTGCATCATCATTTTAATTTGACTTGAAATATGTTGTAATAAAACTATTTTGCAGTTGGAAAAGTTAATATACTACGGTCGAAATTACTTCTGTCTGCACTAATGAATATAGCACTCGACCAATAACTGACTTGTTGTCAGTAACAACACCAAAAACGTAAAGCCCTTCAATCTTTGTAAAGCACAATAAATTACAAAAAAAATATTCGGTTCTTTAAACCTTAAATATGTCTGAACATATATGCTGAAAGCATTGTTTGTCTTCAAATTGGCGTGGATATTTTGGGCTTGAATTTCAGACATATTGTACAAAAATTCTTATTTTTTCTTGATGATGATAAATTCCCAACAGACAGGTATCAAACAAATTGAAAGTATATAATAAAAGATAACAAAATTAGAGGAAACATGTTGATGACATATTTCTCACTTCCGGAAGTGACGCAGTTCGTGTCCCTTCCATATTTTGAAAAGAACACGTGGTCTTGGGATCCACACCTAGCGTAGTCTAACAAAACTGTAACAATATCTTTCATTAACGTTGCCATCTCATCAGTACAATCGCCGGTTACAACAAAATCTACACAGTTGAAAAATTCTGAGGTCGCACTGTAAATAAAATAATTATAAACCGATCATCTTTATAAAATAGGTTAGATACATTTAAAAAAAATATTTACATAAAATATTATTTATATGTGTTGTGTTAATAGCGCGATATATTGAAATAATATACAGTCCACTCTCGTTATCTCGAAGTCATCGGGACTGTCAACAATATCGAGATAACGAAATGTCGAGATAAACGTATTAGGGTTTGAACCAATCAGAAGGTGATTTTTACAAAAGACATGTGCATACCTTATATTTAAGAAAATAAAGAAAAATGTTTCCATGACTGTCTTGTTTTCTTGTGCCTTATATTGCAAAGTCGAAGTCGATATTTATCAAATATGTTACATAAGCGGATGTTTACCGGAGGATTTATATACGGCACACAATTATTCATAATTGTAGTACATTTGAATTTTAGTCGGTGCTGGGGGCATGAACAGTATCATGCATTAACCACTGCTTTGTTAATCAAACCTAGTCTTCAAACAGTTTCGTTTTGGATATGTTTGACGACCTTCAAATATACCAAAATCTTTATTTTCATTTAAATAGATAATATTAACATACGTGCAAACAGCGCTACTGTATGCTGTGTAATTGAGTTGTGCCTTCATTTTTTGTGCTTCCAGTAAGGACTGTTTATAATCTGTATAACACGTTCCATCACGTAGATCACATGCTCCAACAGCTTTCTTCAGTTCTAAAGGACAAAATGTGAAACTGTTTTTATATGATATTAGTTTTGAAACGGATGAAGATATGATGGAATAGAGATCAAATCAGTAATTCAGAAATAAATCTGAAATAATACATATACTTTAATTTATCTATGAATACAAATTAACTTGGGTGGTTTAATTCAGTTTTAGCAGGAATGGTACATGAAACATATTGCATTGAAAGAGAATGACCACCTTTACATTTCATTTCGAAGGCGGGTTTAATGCACCGTGCGAAAGCAATGTGTTTGTAATATAAATAGAATTAAACTATTCAAGCTGGCGATTATTACGTATATTAGTCGACTAAATGTTATAATTATATATTTAAAATATTCTTTTTCCACAGAGTATCTCATTTATATACAAGAACATACTTTAGTCATTTTCAAGTTAAAAATAAAATTACATTAAACAAATATATATCCCTTTAATTTATTCATTTTATCAAAAAAATAAGGAACAAAATAAGAAAGAATTGTTATAAAATTGTTAATTTTTTCTGCAACCAAATACAAGAATCAGTCTTGTATACCAATAATTTGGCAATTGTATGTCAAACTTTTAAGATTTTTTTTATCAAAAGTGGAACAAACGTTTAAATATAGGAACAAATGGTCACACGCTGTGCTTTTGGGGTTAAGCCATTGAAGGTTATGAGATTTAAAACCTATTTTATTCAACATATATACAATGGTCTTTAGTTTTATATACCTTCTAGATTCTCACAAGCCACTCTGTTAGCCACTCTCATGGACACTACGTCCATTTCTAAATGTTCATCTTTTTCACTGCAGCCTCTCAAAGCATCTTCATAACATTTTATGTTACACTCTTGCCTAAATGTATTATCACGATAAATCAAATCAAGTAAACAAAAGGGAAAATTATTTATTAAGAAATTAAAAACTGTAAGATTTTAATCAAAGGTAATATTTGGCTAGCCGCGAGAAATATGAAATAGTTCTTATTTATTTAAAAAGCCTGCATAGCTCAATCGGTAAGAGCGCGAGTCTTACAATCACGACATTATTGGTTCGATTCCTGGGTTGGCCATCTAAAATTACTTAACAGTCTTTCGGGTGAGACTTTAAATCGAGGTCCCGGGTATGAGTGCGTACACACTTGGCATGCTAAATAACCAGGAAAAGTTTTTGCATTGAGGCATCTTTCCGTATCTTGTTCTATCCTCTAAAATCTAAAATAACTAATACTCTTCTGGATGACTCGCCCATATGGGCAACCGGTGGCGAGTATAAAACTCAAATTCACACACGCAAAAAGTAAAAGCGGTCACCAATTGTGTTTTCACTGTTTTTTCCTCAACTTTCATTTCACATAAATTAATAATTTCCATCATGGAAACAAGCGAAATGCAATTTATCCGTTCTTTTCATAATTCGCTATAATACTATGATTTTATTAGAAAATGGGTGCATTAATATCATTTATATATTTATATACACAGTTCTGCAACTTAACGAAATGCTTTTCTATTTTCATTTACAAGAAACACCATAAAATCGTGTTACAAAGGCGTTAAAAGATTTTTTACAGTGTTATATAACCATGTTCTCTACAACTCGCGTCGCATAGCAATTTAGGTTATATATGCTTTCAACCGTTTATACTGGGTCATATATGCTGTCACAAATGTATATTACGTACATAATGCACTTGTTTACTTACACTTTACAGTAGTTGTCTATTCTTGGTGGCAATCTTTTATCCAAAATTGAACCTAGTGCAAGCATCTCACATTTTGAAATTCTTGACATTAAACTTGACTTAAAACAGTGGCTATCCTGCAAGACAGATATTTATAAGAAATGGAGGAAAAAAAAGGAAAAACAGACAAAATACATTTGAGGTGCATATATAAACGTGTGTGCTTGGTCGGCAATAGATGCGCATCTAAAAAGAGAGGCTATAAAAACATTTAATTTAGCTAATGATTGCATCATGAGCCCTTCGAAAGGATATGCCAAATTCAATAACCTTCACATTTTTCTTATTCCATAGAATAGTATGCAAAGTTGTTTCCTGAAAAATATGTGCATGAACGTTTGTATATGGTCAGAAGGAGCATCTCACATGCAATATTTAATATGATATCAATGGAATAAAAACTCTCTTTTTAGCTTAGAGAAGTATCATGAGCCCCTACGACAGGTACTTAAATTTTTCATTCCATAAAGGTGGATGATTTAAAAAACTAGAAATGTGTCCATAGGACACGGATGCCCCCACACGCCACTGTTCTGTCAATCTTATGACTCTAGGTCAAATATTTTTTGGACTACATGTGCCACAAGTTGAAAACTAAAAATCAACAAAGGGCCATAATTCTGTTAAATTTGGTCGCAGCAAAAATTCCTACCTTTACTACCATCTACACATAAGGTTGTTAATCCCTGGAAGTTTAAGCAAAATCTGCCATCAAGTTTAAGAGGAGTTGCGTTCACAAAATTTCTACATCGAATATAATGAAAAAACAACAAAGGGCCATAATTCTGTTAAATTTGGTTGCAGCGAAAATTCCTTCCTTTACTGCCATCTACACATAAAGGTTGTTCATCCTTGGAAGTTTATGCAAAATCTGCCATCCGGTTTAAGAGGAGTTGCATTCACAAAATTTCTATATAGTATATAGTGAAAAAATCAACAAAGGGCGATAATTCTGTAAAATCTGGTCGCAGCGAAAATTCCTTCCTTTACTACCATCTACACCTTAAGGTTGTTCATCCCTGTAAGTTTAAGCAAAACCTGCCATGCGGTTTAAGAGGAGTTGCGTTCACAAAATTTCTACATAGTATATAGTGAAAAAATCAACAAAGGGCCATAATTCTGTTAAATTTGGTCGCAGCAAAAATTCCTTCCTTTACTGCCATCTACACATTAAGGTTGTTCATCCCTGTAAGTTTAAGCAAAATCTGCCATGCGGTTTAAGAGGAGTTGCGTTCACAAAATTTCTACATAGTATATAGTGAAAAAATCAACAAAGGGCCATAATTCTGTTAAATTTGGTTGCAGCAAAAATTCATTCCTTTACTGCCATCTACACATTAAGGTTGTTCATCCCTGTAAGTTTAAGCAAAATCTGCCATGCGGTTTAAGAGGAGTTGCGTTCAAAAAATTACTACATAGTATATAGTGAAAAAATCAACAAAGGGCCATAATTCTGTTAAATTTGGTCGCAGCGAAAATTCCTTCCTTTACTACCATCTACACATTAAGGTTGTTCATCCCTGTAAGTTTAAGCAAAATCTGCCATCCGGTTTAAGAGGAGTTGCGTTCACAAGATTTCGGGACGTACGGACTGACGGACGGACGGACGGACTGACACTCGGACGGACAAGTGCAACGCTATATGCTCCCACTCTGTGGGGGCATAAAAAGTTGTGCCGTTATAATTCAAATTTACAACATTTCTATGTACTATGTTTCTTTGCATAAAAGTAAATTTATATATTTTTATATACTATCTTATGCAGTGAAAACTACACTGATCTTATTTTCTCACCAGTTTCGGACGAGAGCACGTCACACCTCCACCATATTTCTTGTATAAGTTATCAATATCAGTGTTGGGACAAAATGAAATGGAACTGCCTACTTTGATAATATCCAAGAAAATCTTTGCGCTGTCCTCCGAACAATTTACAGACGGAATAACACGAAGGCAGGCTCTGGCTTGAGTTAAAACACTACAATGGAAAAATGGGAAATAACCTATGAAATCACGAGGTTTAACAGCAATTACCTAGTTAAGGTTTAATAAGGCAATTATTTTGTATGTCTTATAATTGGTATATTGATTTTTTCATGTATATTTTCATTTACCTTTGCTATTAGTACAAATCTGCTCATTTTTATATCATTATATCGAACTCCAATAAACTTTGTGTCCAGGATTGAAACTGATTCAGTAGGATATTCTGCAAACTATAAGATTTGTACTTGCCTTGAATTCCTTTACACGTACATACTAGATATATGTTGGTATCAGTTACGACGGTGTCATGGTTTTGTTATATACACGCCATATATACATGTAAACACAATCTTTTTACATGTATGAATTATATAGATTTGTATTGCTATCCAAACAATTTTATTCATTTACATTTATAAGCTGATCATACAACACTATATCTTTATTTCAATTATAGAATTATAGAATATATTAAAGAATAAATAATGCGATAAAAAAAACACAAAAAAATCAATTATGAACATACTTGCATAACAACTCTTTGTATTCGTCATATTTGCCGTTATCATATAGATTAAATTTTCCTTGCAGTAGTCTTGATGTAAATATATTAGAATTGCATAAACTACTGTCATCTGTGTCACATCGAACAGAGCCTTTGACTTGTCCTTCAAAAACTGTAAAAATATAACCGCATAACATAACGCTGGTGAAACAAACACATTTTTATCTTGTAACATATTGCATAATAAGAATGTTTAAAGTGAAAATGATCTATTACGTCAAATACATGCAATAAATTACAAACATGTAACTCGTGAATTCTTGCCTTTTTCATTGCATAAGATGATGATGATCATTATCATAATTATCATGCAAAATAGTAGCACCACAAACACGTATATTTTTGACAACTGTATGATTTATTGCAGGCTTATTTTATCCAGTTACAAATCCTTTCTTGCGAGTACAAGAACAAGTAGGCGTTTACTCACTATGACTACTCTGAATTCTACAATATCTTTGTATTGTATTCCTTTGTGGAAAGACTGCCAATCAATTGTTTTACTCACGTGCCTTTTCGAAAATTTGTCAGATTACAATTAATAAAGACATTAGTGTACAGTAAGGATGTAAATTTAATTCATTTAAAATCATTATCGTAGCAAACAATTACGCCAACATAAAATTATGATATTGAATATTTATACCTGTACATATATATGTATTAATTGTGTCAATATCTAAACTTGTTAATTACTTACTGTTCGGCACAGTATGACCAATAATGTGTCACCGTTAAACACAAACAAGCAAACTTACACGAAATATCAGCGCATAACATTCTGTAGTAGACTTTCATTTTTTCTGGGTCATTCTCCTTAATCTTGTCTAGAAATACATCACTTTTTGCACAGTCTCCATAAGCATCAGAGGTACACTGTATGAAACAGTCAATGCTGAAAATTGAAATGTGCTGTAGTTCCTTTTTTGTGAATAACTATGTTTTCATCTTTAAAAAAATCCTTAGCTTTAGTAAAAAGTGGCAGTCATTTTACAAACTCAACTATATCGTTCTGATGAAATGCATGTAGTATTTAGGTGGCTTCATATCAGGAAAACAATATTTTCAATAGTTAAAACATAAATAATAGTCTTGAAACGCCTTAGGTATTTAGTACTCTAAAGAAATTCGTAAATTCATTCATAGTAGATTGACATTATGTCAGGAGAAATGTCTGCCTTGATGTTATAATCTAAGGAAAGATTCAGTAATAGTACTGGAACCAATTTCCAAGATATGGAGGCTGACGACATAAAATTGAAATATTCTCAGTTGGAAAACTAGCATGTAATTGTTTAGTTAACACTATTTTTTTTAGGTATTTTTATCTTTTTCTATCTCAAATCAATATAAACAACAACCTCTGACTATTATTTACACCCAAAACAAACACACATCATTTATCAGCCACTTATACGAAATATCTTTTCACGTATACGTCTTTTATATGAAACAATACTAGACACCTGGCGAGCCCAAGTTCTGAACAACTTATGACCAAACAAAACAATAAAATCACCACAAAATAAAGAACACAAAATGAATATATTTACAACTCTAAGATACAGTATAAACCACAAACATTCATCCAACAATATTAACTTCACACAATCTTATCAGCATCAGAAAACAACTTAAACTAAAGCACCCAATATTTACATATAACCTCAAAACAAAGCATCAACTAATATAATCTTGATCAGACAAACATTCAACCAATATCAACCAATAATATCTTCACAAACAGATATAACTCAACAACCTAAACAACTTATTACAACCAATAAACCCTGATCAATTAAGATCACCACAATTATATTCAACCACTTCAACAAACCAACAAAACTGACTTCAAAACAACAAAATTCTCTTCAACACAACAAAATTCTCTTCCCAATAAAAAAATAACCGCTAAACACTATATAACTGATGTAAAATCTCTCTCAAAACGCGCATATTTGCTAGCTTAAACGATTTGACCTTTAAACATGTATACATATTTGATACTCCCAGCAACAGGTTTATAAATGAAACTGTACATTGAAATCTGATACACTTCAGTGTATCGCTGACTCGTTGTAAAAAAAAAACTATCTACAGTGAAACTGTATGATTATTCTGACACATTATCAAATCTTGAAGACAACGCAGAACCAAATAGTATACTTCCGGTTTAGCTTAAATCAGTGGATATTTTCCCATTCGGTGATGTAGTTATCCACAGATTTTTTTAGTGTTATGCACGAAGTAACCATGAATTTAATCCGCTATTATGTGTATTTGATTTTAATCACCAGCTCAGGAAAAAATTACCTATATGGTCTTGAAATATGCTGTTTGTGTGTGATATACAAAGATGTCTAAATTGTAAAATATTTATAAAAAGTGTCTGAGAATTTTGTATCAAAATATAATTGTACATTTTTTCGAGACAAAAATAACATTATATTTTACTTGTTACACACTGCTACAGGATCAAGATCGTCGGAGTTAAGCGAGTTTGTTAAATACGCTCGCTGGCATAATTTCCCGTCTTTAGCCGCTTCATCCTTATTACAATAAACGTCTCCAGCAGCACATTGAACCAAATATATAGCTTTAAATTAAATAATAAAACGTAGTCAAGCAGTTTTATATAAAGTCGTTTCTACTAACATTAGTAATATCGTTAAAAGTAGATCATCTGTAATGCACCGCTGCATGTAAAACAAGTAAAGATCTGTCATCAGATTGGTAATTTTCGAGTTGATCATTGACTTTTGCGAGTTGACAAAACTTTACTGCGTAATAATAATCATACACAAAAATTGAAAATGGACTATGACCTATCTTAAAGCATCTATAAAATAAAGAACACATGCCACTGAAAGAATTAGTTTATATGATAATGCTAGTTTCTTTATCCATAACAAATGTAACCAATATTTTTGTGAAATTGAAAATGCAATTTAAACAGTATTAAAATAGATAAATACAGAATCCCTAAAGAAAGCCCAACACGGCAAAATTGATAAATGTTGCAGGCTCGGTTTGATTGAGCCTGTTCATGGACGATACTGGAAAGTGCAAGTTACCGTCCACGCCCCCTAGCACCGGCTTAAGCAGAATTCAACATTTAAACATGAAATGGTAAAATTTGGAATTTACAAACATCCGCAGATGTGTTCATACGGCGGTTATCATGGAACCTTCAATGTGACACAGTAGTGCCATTCCATGAAAAGCGGCGTATGGTCCCCAGGTAATAAAAAGCGTGTGCCCTAAACGAGAAAACAATGGGCGGAACTAAATAAAATGGAATTTTGTAAGGGGATCGGAGGTTATGAAGCCTGCGTATCACAGATAAGACGTCAAAAGACAAATTTAAAAAGCAGGCAACATATCCTAAGGGTGATTCAACATTATTCAAGTAGGAATATTGGAACCACCCAACTAGAAAATGCCGAAAAGTTGAAACTAAAGATACCACAAGCACAACAATAATGTCGTGCTGAACGATCTTCAAGGATCGAAAATATAACATCATTGATTAAATGTACGGGGAGACTTTTTACAGCCGCCACACGGCTTAAAACTTACCTATGGAAACAAGACAAACACTTTTTACCATTTCTGAGGAGAAATAAAGATTATTTCGATGATAAAAAAATCGTGAACTGGAAATAACACTGATATATGGCATATATATGGCAAACGACAATCCTAGCAATATCTAACCGTAATATAATTATTATATGTTATTATATGATATTTAGGTTTTGGAGTGATATATGAGGATATATATTACCTGCCAAGATTTTATATCACCCGAACCGCTAGGCGAGCGAGGGTGATATTTTATCTGGCCAGGTAATATATCCACTCTAAAACCTAAATAATAATTATATAACCCTTCCCCTCCCGAGAAAGACGATTTTAAGATTTCAAATGAACCGTCGAAATAAGATTCCCTGTTTAGTCTGAAGCACATTAACAGCTCATCGACATTTACATATGATATGAAACACTGTTGGTTACCAAGCTGTTATGAAAATAACTCTTTAGTCGTGACGGAGGTAACAACTTGACTATAAAAATGCCTAAAGGCATAAAATGTCACGTAATTGGAATGTTTAAAATCCCTTCCCTACTCTTATTTTCTGGTATGAAATTAATCCCAGTTTAAACAGGTCTAGGATGTCATGACACTTAATGATAGTCAATGAATTTATGGACATAAATTTAAGGATATTCCGGGCCCGGATGCACCGGGTGCGCTTAAGGGATTTTAACCCTTCCCAGACATCCTGGCATAAAAATATTTCTATCAAAGATGGCATGTTGAGGGTAAAATATTAGCAAAAACTTACTTTAAATAAATGTAAGTCACTACATTCTTGTATATTGGAACCTGCAATCCTGCTGAGTTTCCTGCCAGTCAACACTACATACCTCTACATAATGTTTTCGGTTAGCAGACGCTTTTTATAGATTAGTGAAGAGGGACACTAGCGTCTACATAATCATAGTTTTACCCTTGAAATCAGTAAACATTCAGTTGATTTACATCGACTTTTGCAAAAATAAAATGTAAATTTAACACAAATTTATAAAAGTCTGAAACTTTGTGAAAAATATGAAGACACTTCCATTTCAAAATGTGCCCCTTAAAAGGAGGTGTTTGGACATTCAAATATAAGCCCCCGCCCCTCAGCTAAAATTTATGGATCTGGCCCTGTATTCAATGTGAACTTTGCTGTTTTTAGTTTAATACTATAACAAAGGTAATGAGATAAGTTTCATTTTGGTCTGATGACTTTGAAATTAACGTTGAAAGTCATCAAATTTCCCTGAATCTTACCATACTGTTGCTTTTAATCATTTAATCAGTAAGGTTATACTATTTTACCTGCGGTTTTAATTTAAATACAACTTTACTATTTTCATACTTAATGTCTGTGAATTTACATATAAAAAGTCTGAAATTATAGACTGTCCATAAATATACAGACAGTCCATATATATCAGGAAATCCAAGAAATCACGTATAAACTAGGTATATTACACTACAATAGTAGATAATCATGTACATATGATTATTTTCAATTGAACATTAGTACTAAAACATTACACATCAGAATAAAGAAATCCATTCACTTGAAAATAATATGTTAAAATACATATATATATATATTTATTCAACGATTGAAAAACAGAATAGCGAAAAATAGTGAAATAAAATTGTAACTTACTTAAAATTATCCGATGACCTGTATGAAGTAAGAAATTTTATCTAATCCGATATACTAACATTGTATTTTGAATATAAATTGAATGTTTCACTCCAGTGAATAATATGGTGTTAGAGTATGTAATTATCCATCCGGACAATGACAAATTGTTAACAAACCATAACCGGTGTATAACATTTTATGATACATTTACAGTTAAACGTTTGATTCATGAGTAATATTTTCATGTTAAGTACTTGTGATAACGTGTGTGTAAAGATGAAAATACATCCAAATTGTAATTTTTAAAATTAGTAAAGCTTCAATAAGTGGTTTTTTTTTTTTTTTTTTTTTTTTTTTTTTTTTTTTTTTTTTTTTGTAAATAAACTTCGAGTGGAAATTTTTTATGCTGCTTCTGACTGTGTCAGTAACGAACGGGTTTATACATGTAGCCTTTTAGCGATTGTAAATTATTTTTAAGTGTAGTACGAGTATTGTCTTTGTACGTGAGAATCTGTAGTGAGGTAGAAGAATTTTCTTGGTAACTTATTCCTTTGTGTACGGCCGTTTGCATTAGTATGTAACTATGATAATTTTATATTTAATTATACAACTGATAGAAAAATATCACAAAATATTTAATAGTTATAAATATCGTAATGATCTGATACACTTTTGTTGAGATAATTATGAAAGTTGTAAAGTAAAGGATTTGAACTGTTAATCATACCAGATATTTCCCGCTATTGTGGATCTTATGCATTGCATTGCAGGAGCTGTTGACAATATCATTACTGTTCTCATGTATTGATCATAACGTTTAAGTTGTGATTTTATTTTAAGTTCTTGTAACCCACACATTATTTTATGTTAATCATTGTGACATGGCTTCTAATAAAAGTCATTGTTGTTGTTGTTCGTATTATATCTTTCTCTATTCATAAAGTATAAGTATAATCAGTATTATCGGTATAACTATATTTGTTGCAATCCAATCTGCAAGTTGTTTAGATAAAATCACATATAATTCTGATCTCCTGTAAGAATGTTGCTTTTAATTACATGATCTGTTCTTTCACATTGTACTACCTTTTAAGAGGTTAGTTGTTTCATAACAGTGGGTTCGGTAGCATGCTTTAAGTAGAATTAATAGAATTTCAAATTACCTTTTTAGTACATTACAATTTAAAGGCCAATTCAGGCCAAAATGGTATTTATTTAAATATTTTAAAAGCCTTTTCTTTTAAGTGTCCTTTTTCGTGTACTGATACAGTTTCAAAATTGGTGCTCATTGGCCTAACCTCTGAATCATGATTTGTTTCTTTTGTTTTTAAGTGCATTAGTAAAATTATGGTAACTTTGTATTTTGCATGGAAATCAAAATACTACTTAGTTTACATTTTGCTACTGTTTTGGCAAATTATATTACATTCAGCATTTCAAGTCAAGGTCAAGAACAAAACTGAATTAATCCACACACAAAACCCAGGTGCGCAGCTGTACATGCTGATCAACATTCCTGTAAAGTTTGTTGATTCTAGCTCAAGTACTTACGAAGTACTCTACAAATACTGAATATACAAGCAAACCCCCATGTGCACAAGTATAAATGCTTCCCGACATGTAAAGTATCGTGGCTCTAGGTCAAATAGTTTTTCGACTACGCACGATACAAGATAAAAAAATGCAAATTTTTACTAAGTCAAGGGCAATAACCCTACAAATACTGAATAAATTCACTCGCAAACACACAGCAACACATGCTAATCAACATTTCTGTAAAGTTTCATGACTCTAGGTAACTTTTCTTTTGGACTACACATGACACAAATTGAAAAAAACATTTTACTACGTCAAGGGCAATAACCCTACAAATACTGAATACATTCACTCGCAAACACACAACAACACATTTCTGTAAATTTTCATGACTCTAGGTAACTTTCCTTTTGGACTACACATGGCACAAATTCAAAATAGCAACTTTTTACTACGTCAAGGGCAATAACTCTGACAAAACTAGATAAATCCACACGCGAAACCCCATGTGCACACCTTCACATGCTTAACAACATTCCTGTAAAGTTTGTTGACAAGCACAAGCACTTTTAGAGGTACATGATACACGACATAAGAACGGACGCACGGACATGGGCCAAATTTAAATCCGCGCCACCTAAAGTGTGGGGGCACAAATATTGTAGTGATTTCTGAGGCTTAATGCCTATATGGAAATATTTTAGATGTAATTATAGTGTGTCTGTTCGATGTTACCACTAGATTTATAAAACTTAATCTTATTGTGTAAACATCATAATTTTATTTGACGCAAACTTGTGCAAAAAGCATAAAGGTTTTCTTTTAAGGTTGACACTTATTCAAAAGGCGTTTAAAACTTTATATTTTTAAATTTTACTATATTCCTGACATAATAGTTTACCATCTTGTTTGAAAAATATTGACAAATAAAGCTCAACTTCTGTATCGATTTTATACAACAACAACAACAATTGTGTTTTCATTATCTATAGATAAGTTTCATTTATTTGATATTTTCCTTACTTGAAAAGTGATAATACATAGAGGATATTTGTTTGAAATAAATTACATCTTACACAACAACCAAAAAAGTTTCTTTTTATTTATGGTTGCTTTGATAGTATCATAACTGAGCAGAGCATCTGGGAATCAAATTATTCAATCACGAATAAAGGGGTTGCTAACGTTGAACTTTATCAGCTTTTTACTCAAACAAAAAAGGTTTCATAAAAGTTATAGTGGTTATACATTTGATTAAGAGCAGTTTCTAGACTAATAAATTATCGACTTTTTTGGTGTTTTAAGACATATTTAAAAACCTGTATTAACATTCACTTTATCTTAACAAAAATCTTTGCTTTTCATTTTTTCAAAATACAGCATCAACATGCCAGAGGATGTATTAACATTGACTGAGATTATAAAGAACAAAACATTAATATTATGTAAATATTAATATTGTCATACAGTATTTTAAGCTATGGCCGCCTAATTTATGATATTTCAAATTCTCAATTTTAGCCTATATTTATTTTATATTTGACCAAGGTCCTTTTATTTGAAATACCCTGATTTGACCGACTGGTAAAGGGTCTTTTTTCTAATAACATGAAACTATCGATATGACAATTGGTTTAGAAAATTGAATGTTATCATAAATTGCATATAAACAGTTAATAAACTGGCCTATAAAAATTATCTTTTTGCCAAAAAAGCTGAGTACTATACAACTCAATTGGATGCAGATGACAAATATTCTTTATTATAGATAGAGATATCGATATGTAGGTGTAGTTGAATACTTTTATAAAAGCTTATATCATTTATTGAAGTAGTCGATTTGAAAGGTGTTACTATGTCTATTTAATTGATATAAATTTGGAGCACTCAGTTGATGAAGTACTCTTGCGGAGTTCAACTCTTTTCATAAAAATACAATTAATATTTTTTGCATCTTAAACTCACATTATAAGTGTTAGAAAGAATGTAAGTGTAATAAAGGATGTTTTATTATTTGATAGACTGCAAGTGAATCTGTCCCTAATAAAGGAAAACAGTCTATTTAGAAATAGGATCAATTATAGTTATTATATTCATTATTAATTTTTTCAAGTTATTTTTAAGTTCACGTATTTAGATATTTAGAGCTCGTCTCCATTGACTATGTTTGGTTATTTCAAATGTTACAGCAAACCATTAAATATGTTAGAATTACAAAAATTGTTATTTTGGAGAAATAACACTATTACTCAAGATAAATGTAAATGCGATAAAACTGTTTCTGAACAAAATAACCGTTAGTAACAAAGTAGTTCATTACATTTATGCAGAGAGTGTTCTTAAAGATGAGTTTGATTTTTATTCTTTACTTCATTTTTGACATTACTTTTCTTAATGAACGAAATTGGACTGGCATATAATTCTTTAATTACCACCACAAATAGGCACAGTGTTCTGTTGCATTTGATGTATTTGATGCATTTTTGTATCTTTGAACATGAATGAAAATTTTCTATGTATAGCCAGCCGTTTCGTTCAGAGAAAAAATATTAGAAACGATTGTTCTATTCAGAGGCTTAAACAGATACAGCTGAAAAACATGAGAAAGCACAGTCCTCAGATATTTAATAAATCAATCTTCTTTTATAATTATCTAACCACTAAAATCTAGATCAAAGAAGTCAGTTTAAAACAAAAAAAAACAACACATTTTCCTATCAATTATCACCTTTAATCACTTAATCGAACATTTTATTCCTTTCATTTACTTTGTGAGATATTTATGGCAAAAAGGTTGAATTTCAAGATCGTATTATGATCACCGTGATATTGACAATATGCTCTGTTTCTTAATATGATAGGATTATTGGATACCAGATGTATTCGTAAAATTTCATCAAAACTAACCAGTACTGTTTTGTCTCTTTTTTTTACTATAAATGGAATACCTTCTTATTTAAGTTTAGTAAATGATTTAGTAAAAGTAAATAGTTTGACATATATTGCTTCATGTTAAATCCTGGAATTGATGAATTCCTATTTCTAACATTTTACGCGTATAAATCATATTGCTTAAATAATAAATTGCCTAATTTACGGTACGTGAATAGTTACATGAGTTTGTTCTATTTATACGAATCGTAGAATAATTTTGTTACTATTGTATAGTGCAATGGGAATATTAAAAGTAACCTAGTCAGCACAAAAATAAAATGTTGCGTAAAAGGTTTTATTAGCACAATTCTTTAATTTCGTTTTATTTAATCACATAAAAGGTGAAAATCACCTAAATGTTGTTAATGAATTCGTTTAATATTAAATACCACGCATCGTTTCTCAAACCGCAAAGTCATTTTATAAATAAGATAAGTAATTTTATATATACTCAAATCAAATCCACTTTTATCTTTTGAAATAAACTTCACAGATTGCATCACGCCTGATTAAAGCAAATTCAATTCTACAATAATACCTTTGCAATCTAATGAAGCTGTAACCAAAGAGGTATGTTGCCCTTTAACACATTTCGACTTAATTTAAATTTGCAGATTGAACTATGTTATAGATCATGTTAATATTGAAAAGAGCAATCT